CGTGTGATGCCTCCGCCTTATTTGTTTTTTTGATTTCTCTCTCTTTCTCTCTCTATCTCTCTCCTCGCTCGCTTTCAGACTCATATCCAGGCTCATTCACAATCATACCCACTCACACCCGTACTCCTTCATATTCAGGGTCATGGCCGCTCGGACCCATGCACGTTTAGATTCGCCCAGACTGAGACTCATCATATTCTGACCCACTCACATCCCGACCCGCCAACACTCAGCCTCCTGCATCCAAACATTCCGCATGATTTGCTCACCGCGATGCAGCAGGCACACCTTTTGATGACCCGACGGGCGACCCGCCGGGGGCTGTTGCATTCGCCCTCTCGCGGCCGGACTGTGAGAACGTCCCTGTTTGCCACCAGCCTTCTCTTCTCAGAGCCCCACGATCATCGCGATGTAGCAGGCGTAGCCAGGGGGTGTTGCATTCGCCCGTTCGCACCCAGATTCCTCTCGCTTGGCGGGGTGCACGCCCGGAGCACGTACAGTCCAGTCGTTGCGGAGCCTTTTGGGAGCTTCTTTGTGGCCTCTTGGAGGTGTTTTTAGGGGGCTTCTTGGGGCCTCTTCTGCACTGAGCTTCTTTGGGGGCCTCTTGGGGGCGACTTGGGCCGTCTTGGGGCGCTCTTGCGGCGTGTGGCCCAGTCGGAGGCCGGCCTCTCGAGGCCGGTTTGGGGCCTCTCGCGGCCGTAATCGCCTCTGTGAAGTGTTCAAGTGTGGAAGGTGTGGGCCACGGCGTGGGCGTTGGTTGGCGTGACCTGCTCGGCTGCCGCGCGGGCGTGCCGCTCCGTCCTGCAATCCCCAGGGCTTCTGGGCGGCCTCATGGGGCGCTCTTGGGAGCCTCTTGAGAGCCTCGTGGCGGCTTCTTGGAACGTCTTTGAGGCCTCTTGGGGCTTCTTGTTGACGTCTTGCGCCGGCTTGGGGCGCTCTTGCGCCGTCTGGCCCCTTCGGAGGAAAATACTTGGAGGCCTCTCGCGGCCGCCTAAGGGTTCTCTTGGAGTCCTCTTGGGCCGTCTTGGAGGGCCCCTTGGACCGTCTTTGGGGCCTCTTTTGGCCGTCTCGGGGCCCTCTTGAGCAATCTTGGGGCCCCTTTGGGGGCCTCGTTGGCCGTCTTGAAGGCTTCTTGGAGGCTGCTTGGGCCGTCATGGTCTTCTGAAAGCCGGAAAAGGCGACTTAACAAAAAATTGAAAACCGATGATTCTGGCTCCTGGAGGCGCTCTTTCGAGTCCTCTTGGGGCCCCCTTGAGCCGTCCTGGGGGCCTCACTGGCCCTTTTGGGACCGTCTTGGGGCCGTCTTGGGCCGTCTAAGCGCCATGTTGGGCCATCTTGAGGCCCTCTTGGGCCCCAGAGGCCTAAGTCGTCGATCTCCTATGTCTTTCTCACTGGTTTCGAGAGCCCGAGAAGGGGGGCATCCATCTTGGGTCGGCGGAGTGGCGCGACTCCAAGGGGGGGTTAGGGGGGAGACATAATAATAATATAAAACCATACAATATGTGGCAATTATACAACAATTGGGTACATTGGATACGTTGCATTATCACCTCCGCAGAAAACGCTGCCGCTCAGCACGTCATTTCCGGACGTGGATTCATTGGCTGACGCCGCACCGCCGACCCCTTAGGGCGGCAGTAATGGTTAGAAACGGAATTTGCGGAACGCGCGTGATCTTTGGGGAATCTTGTGGTTTCAGTTTCTTTGGATTTCTTCGGGTGCGGTTGGCGAGTCGCGGCTCTGCTCGTGGGCTTCGTTGGGCTCTCCTGGCAGCACTTTTGAGGCCCCTTGGGAGCCGTGTTGAGGCCTCTCGGGGGCCTCGCGGGAGCCTCTTGGGGGCCTCTTGGCACCTCCTCCGGTTTTTTCGGGGCCGAGTGCTCGAAATGTCCATTCGGGTTCCGCATTTGGGCCTCCTCTTGGGGCCGTCCAGGGGCCCCCCTGGGCCGTTTTGGAGGCCTGTTGGGCCGTCTTGGAGCCCTCTTGGAGGCCTCTTGGGCTATCTTGGATCGATCTTGAAGGTTTCTTGGGCTGTTGTGGGCCTCGTGAACGTCCATGAGGCGACATGTGCTAAACATAGACGTTTCCCCCATGGGATTTGACGATTTTTGCTTCGCCCGTTCGCACCCAGATTCGAGGATATCTTAAGCGATGCCCTCGTTTGGTCCCAAGACTCTTGTAGGGCCCCATGACACTCGCGAGGCAGCGGGCATCTCACTTGGACACCCCCAGGGGGATCCACCAGGGAGGTGTTGCATTTGCCTGTTCGCGCCCAGATTGTGGGATGCCTCTAGCGAGGCGCTCGTTCGCCTCTCCCCAACCCACTTCCCACTCCGTGCGCGTGCCCATGGTCATCTTGACGCAGCAGACACAGCACGTGAGCACCCAAGGGGAGAGCATCCAGGGGGTGCTATAGTTGCCCATTCGCGGACATACTGCGGGGATGTCTCGAGCGAGGTGTTTGTCTTGCATGTTTGCTCCTGTCTTCTGAGGGTCCCATGAT